CACATCAGGGACATTCAGAACAAGTCAAGATGGCAGCTGCAACGATATAATCGATGAAGCCATCTTGACTTTTTTTTTTTGGGTTCCCTGTAGATGCCCCGACCCCTATATACACATGGATCAGGAAGTTTTGAAATACAGTGGATTACTATGTAAGCCTATTACCCAGTATGAACTGGATTTACATGTTGTGCTAAATCATGGCTTATTTAATAAACCACAGTTGGCTTAGTTCACATTATATGCTAAGCCCTAAACCAACCAAAACTCATTAAGGCTTTAGTGCAATGAGAATGGGGCAAGGTTCATATAGAAACCACTTCACACTCTAGAGGCTAAAGCTAAATACTACCTTCTCCTCCATCTATGAGTTGCTTAGATTTGATATCATTTTACATCTGGGAGCCAACTAAATCTGATTTTTTTTTAAAAGAAAATCACAGATGGAAACAATCCACCAGCCATTCTGTTTAACATCTGTCACCTGTACCCTTATTTGACTAATAATCTGTGTTCTATGTACATAAGTTCCATTCTTCTACAGCTGTTTCATACAGACAAGCTGTGAATTATGAAAAAACAGCTATAACTTGTGTTATACTTTGTCTCTTGTCCCCAGCTTTAGATATACAGATCATATGGACTTTTAGAATTGTGGGCTGATGAATCTGAACTGTAGTGAAAATAATAGAGTTTCTTGGCAAAGAGAAAAGCATTCTGATCCCCCCCCGCCCCCCGCACTGAAGAAGCTTTATAGTTAGGGCTGAAAAATAATATTTACCTAATATTTATTTTTAAAACCTCACTTGAAAAGAAACCTGAGTTATGCTTATATTTTGAAGACACTACCATAAAAACGTTGCTCTACCAAAAGTTAAATGTCACAATCAATATGATTTGGAGAATGGATATACAGTATTTTAAAATTATTTTTCTTGATGTGTATTTCTCGATAGTTCATAAAAGTTGGTACAGCTTTTCTTAAGTCCTCCAACCCCCAAGTTAAGATTTCAGGCTATAATTTTTTATATATTTGTTTATTCATTCAACTTGTAATCTGCTAGGACTCCTAGCAGTTTAGAAGAAAGTATACATAACAAAAACAAAAACATCCGTGGTAAATGTGAATTAAAATCTATAAATAAGTAACTAACTAAAAACAAAGCAAAACCAGCAACAGATGAAAATCCAAATGACAACAGCTTAGTTCACAAAAGCTCTTTGGAAGAACTGTATCTTCAACATCTTCCAAAATGAACACACCATGGGAGCCAGCCTAATCTCAACTGGGAAACTATTCCAGTTGTTGCCACAGAAAAGCAGCTCCTTCCTGTTTCAGCCCCTTTCATGGAAGTGGGAGACAACAGTAGCTTCTTCCAGGACATTTGAGGCAGCCAGGTTGATTCCAGTTGCAGAGTGTTGTCCTGGAGATATCTAAGTACAAAGCTATAGAGGGCTCTATAAGACAAAACCAGCATTTTGAATTATACCTGGAAGCCCATTGAAAGACAGTGCAAGGCATACAACCCATGTGTAATATGTTCTTGGTAATATGTGCCAGCTACGTGGGCCACTGCATTTTGAACCAGCTACAGCTTCTGGATGGTCTTCAAGGGCAGCCTCATGTAGAGTTTTTTTGCAAAAGTTCAGCCAGGTGATGATGAGGTTACTGTGGCTATAGCCTGAAGATACCAAGACACTATAATAACAGCACTTCTAGTCTGGCTCAAGATGTGTAGAGAATCACAGTACAACCTTGGAGAAGGAATGCACAATTAGTAAAACATGATTTAAGCCCAGGAAAAGAAGAGAATGTGAAAAAGAAATTTAAACTGATTCCACCTTCACTTTCGAGGGTATAAGAGGGAAGAAGGGAGGAAAAATACTGTCAGGCTTTCAAGATTCTGTTACTATAGCCTATGTCCATAAAATAGAGTTCCAGTATTTCTCAAAGAGTTTGTTTCCTGACCTGGCTTACCTTTAAGGGCTGACAGGCTGGCAATATATAGCTGTATTTGTATATGCAGCATTGTGGTGGTACTGCATTCCAAATAGGAAATAAGCCACATGGAAATAGTGAGATTTATGTCAGAGCCAGCTTGTGTAGAATTCTGTTGTTCAGCTGCAAACCTATCAGTCTTACCCAGGAAGAAGCCCAATTAAACATGATATGTTTTGCTTTTAAATAAAACCATATGATAATTCTTTTAGTATTGAAGTATCTAGAAGTAGGCATTTTTAGTGGAAGAGTTAATGTTTGCTTAATCTTGGGATGGCATATTAGGGCTTTGAAGGGAAAAGAGTGCTTCAGGGAATGAGTAGACATGCAAGTTGGCAATTTCTTAAAGCAGCTGAGTCTCTTCACAAGATTATACACCTGGCCTCTATAGCTGTTGCTTTATCCCAGGAAAGACACATTCGGTTTAAGGGAGTGTTGTCCAAACTTGGCCACTTTAAGAAGAGTGGACTTCAACTCCCAGAATTCCCCAGCCAGCCAATTCCCCATGCTGGCCGGGGAATT